TGCGAGGGTTAACACACTTAAATGTCTTACTCATGTCGGCCACGAAGAACGAGAGCTCACAGTCCTCGGGAGCGGCCTGTGTCGGCGGCACTGTGTTATCCTCAAAGCGGGCGAAGAAGGTGTTTAGCTTGTCCGGGGTAAAAAGTGGTCGGTGTCGACGTGGCTGGTTTTCCCTTTATAATCTGTCATTGTCTGGAGTCCCTGCCACATATGTCTTGTGTTTGAGCCGTTGAATTGTGACTCCACTTTGTCTCTGTACTGACGTATTCAATCATATTGTTTGTATGCAATCATATTCCCAGTCACCTTGCCGTGGTTAAATGCTATGGTTCGCCCTTTCAGTTTTGCGAGAATGCTGCCATCTATCCACGGTTTTTGGTTTGAATATGTCTTAATTGTTACAGTGGGAACAACATCCCCTATACATTTCCTGATGAACTCGGTCACCGTGTCGGTGTATACGTCAATGTTATTCTCAGAGGCAGGCGGCAGGTAGCTTAGTGGGTAAGAGCATTGTGCCAGTAATCGAAAGGTCGCTGGTTCTAATCCCCGAGCCGACTAGGTGAAAAATCTGTCGATGTGCCCTTAAGCAAGGCACTTAACCCTAATTGCTCCTGTAAGTCGCTCTGGATAAGAGCGTCTGCTAAATGACTAAAATGTAAAATGTAAATGCAACCCGGGAACATTTGCCAGTCCGCGTGATCAAAACAGTCTTGAAGAATGTATTCCGATTGGTCAGACCAGCATTGAATAGACCTTAGCACGGGTACTTTCTGTTTGAGTTTCTGCCTATAGGAAGGGAGGAGAAAAATTGAGTCGTGATCTGATTTGCTGAAGGGAGGGCCTTGTAGCCATCGCGGAAGGGTGAGTAACAATGGTCAAGAGGTTTTGAAGCGCGAGAACTGCAGGCGATGTGTTGATAGAGCTTCGGTAGCGTTTTCCTCAGATTTGCTTTATTAAGTCCCAAGCTATAATAAATGCGGCCTCAGGATATGCAATTTCCGGTGTAGTTCCTTGAGAGCCGTTGTGGTATCGGTTTGAGGGGGAATATACAAGGCTGTGACGATGACCGAAGAAAACTCTCTAGGGAGGTAATGCGGTCGGCATTTGATTGTGAGGTATTCTAGGTCGGGTGAACAAAAGGACTTGAGTTCCTGTACGTTACCACAATCACACCATGAGTATTTAATCATGAAACATACACCTCCGCCTTTCTTCTTCCCGGAGAGTTCTTTATTCCTATCCGCACAATGTATTGAAAACCCAGCTGGCTGTATGGACGGGGACAGTATATCTGCAGAGAGCCATGATTCAGTAAAAAAAAAATTTTTAAGCATAGTGTACAGATGTAGGATCTTAATTTGAGCCACTTTGCTACAGCAGGAAAATAATCCTGCAGCAACAGGAAATGTGGATTATAATAATGGACAATCTTGTAGCGGTTGATACATTTTTCGTAAGGGAAAATCAAGTCTGAAATTTCAGTGGAATTACAACAGGGTGATCAAATGAAGATCCTAACGGCACTCATATTTTTCCATTAGGGTGTTTTTTGCATTAACGCCTCTGCACAAAGCTCCATCCCAGTGATACTAGCCACAATTCTACTGTGTAGTAGTCATCTAGCAGATTCTTATTTTATCCAGAGCAAGCTGAAACCACTGCATAACACTGGAAGCCGTAGGACCCCAGCGATAGGCGGCCATCCTAGTATCTGTCTGTTGGTGTCTCCCTCTCTCGTTGAGCTGAGGACCCAGCCTGTCCTCTCTGTGGCCCAATGCCCGCCAGTGGTGTTACCAGATTGTGTCCCGTCGCATTTGCGACACGTCGTGGTTGTTGTGTAAGACCGTCTCTGTCCTCCCTCACACCGCCCCCTCCCCTCTGCCCCTCTAACCTTTCTGTAACCGTACGGTGACGGACTCCTCACACACACACTACTGGCACGGTGGGTACTGTATTATTAGAAGACCTGTGCCACCTGGGGCTTAGTCAATAGGCATTTGTCTCAGCTCTATACTTCAGATTTCTATCTATAACTTGCACTCCACGGAATCTATTGGAACAGGTATGGTCAATAATACAAGACTAGGTGGCCTTGAACAAACTGAGACAAACATAAACAACTTCATAGTAGTCAAAGCAATACAAGGCCATCCCTGCTATCAGTTGTTTACCCAAATGACAGTTTGTTGTAATGAAATATGAAATGAAATATGCCATTTAGCAGACGCTTTTATCCAAAGCGACTTACAGTCATGCGTGCATACATTTTTTGTGTATGGGTGGTCCCGGGGATCGAACCCACTACCTTGGCGTTACAAGCGCCGTGCTCTACCAGCTGAGCTACAGAGGTAACCTCAGTGTCATGGTTGTCATGGTAACCTCAGTGTTCGCATGGCCTGAACATGGAGCAGTGCTTTTCTTTGTTTTCATCTCAAACCCAATGTTTGTTGCTCTTCTGTAATCAAGATGATGTTGAAAAAAGTATGTCACTCACTTGAAGAAGTTGCAGATTTTCTGGGTAACCTCTGCTAATAGCGCACTATGTTGGCTTGTGCCTTGAGTGTTGACAGGACAGCACACAATAGAGTTGACCACGTTTTCATCTAATATTGTTGCTCTATCATTAGACTGTAGGATAGACTAATCATGGGAATGGTAGAGGAGGATGGATGGTGGGGGTGCAGCAGGGTGTGTGGGTGTGTGTGTAGTAAAGAATAGTGTGTGTCGTTTGTCTGGTTGGCAGGATTGAAAGAGCAGCCGTCTTTCTCTCTACAAGCCTCTCCTCTCCTGCCCCCGGGGGACTTCATTAGGCCTGGACCAACCCATCTGAGACCTGACTAACACATCCATCTCTTCTTCACTCCCTCTTCCACTCCTCTTCCACTCTTTCTCTCCTTCACTTATTTTTCTCATTCTCTGTGCTGACTGGGACTAGCCAGCTCTCCTCCTGCTCTCCCTCACTTTCACTCTCTCCATCTCCTTATCTCCCTCACTTTCACTCTCTCCATCTCCTTATCTCCCTCACTTTCACTCTCTCCATCTCCTTATCTCCCTCACTTTCACTCTCTCTCTTTTCCTCAATCACTCAGACCCTCTCTCCTCCCTCCCTCACTCTCACCTTACAAAACCCAACTTGTTGAAACAAAACAAAACGAAAAACTACAAAACAAAACAAAAACCTAAACATCCACAACAGCAATGTCGAAGCTGAGATTGCAATTCGCCATCCATCCACATGGCCGGGAAACAGCAGCGGGGTAGTGGATTGGGGGTTTGGGTAAGCGCCATCAAGCCAGTTTGTATGAAGGGCATTATTTACACACAAAGCACCAATCAGAGAGGCTTTGATGACCTCACTGCACGTTGACACATGGTGGAAAAGGCTGCGGCCTGGGTTTCCACATAATGAACCACTGTTCTTCTGGTGAGACTTTGACGTATTGTGTGTTTTGGAGCAGTAGAGGCTTGTTTGTAAACAATACCCACCTTCAGTAAGTCTAGGAGCTGCTGCTGTTACTGCCTCTCTTTTGCAATCCTCTAGCTAGCATCCGATAGTAACCTGCCTCTAGCTAGCGCCTGATAATAACCTGCCTCTAGCTAGTGCCCGATAGTGACCTGCCTCTAGCTAGTGCCCGATAGCAACCTGCCTCTAGCTGGTGCCCGATAGTAACCTGCCTTTAGCTGGCGCCCGATAGTGACCTGCCTCTAGCTAGTGCCCGATAGCGACCTGCCTCTAGCTAGTGCCCGATAGCAACCTGCCTCTAGCTGGCGCCCGATAGTAACCTGCCTTTAGCTAGCGCCCGATAGTAACCTGCCTCTAGCTAGCGCCCGATAGCAACCTGCCTCTAGCTAGCGCCTGATAATAACATGCCTCTAGCTAGTGCCCGATAGCAACCTGCCTCTAGCTGGCGCCCGATAGTAACCTGCCTTTAGCTAGCGCCTGATAATAACCTGCCTCTAGCTAACGCCCGATAGCAACCTGCCTCTAGCTAGCGCCCGATAGCAACCTGCCTCTAGCTAGCGCCCGATAGCAACCTGCCTCTAGCTAGCGCCTGATAATAACATGCCTCTAGCTAGTGTCCGATAGTGACCTGCCCCTCCTCCTCCTCTCTTTAGCTCTCTTTTTCTCTAACCCCTCCTCTCTGCTGTCTCTCTCTTCTTCTCCTTGTCTTTGCCACGCTTTCCCTTTCCTCCCCTCCCTCCCTCCCTCTATCCTCTATCTCGCTCTCCCTCGCTCCGTCACTCCAGACCACACTGTGTAAAGACAGATGTTTAGCTCTTCTTGGCCTCCTGCCCACCTCCATGTGAGCTTCATTTCATGTGTTTATGCTGTTTTCCATGCAGCCATTGAAGTGGTGTTGTTTCTCCTGGCCAAACTGGGGCTGTTTGTGCTTCAGGGAGCTGCTCTGGTATGTGTTGTGTAGTCCTGCTGCAGACTAGTCTGTCTCTGTTTGCGTCAACTGTCGGCATACTATAGGAAATCATTGTGAAGCAGGAGGGGGAAGGTTGTGTGTGTGTGTACATGCATATGTGTCTGGATGCATATGTGCATAGAATGTGTGTCTGCATACCTGCATATGTCTGGATGCGTTTATTGTCTGAGTGTGCGGATGAACATGTATGTATACGTGCATATGTGTGCACTTTTGAGTGTCATTCCAGAACACTCATGTCCTGCTGCGGTTCTGGTTTTGGAGAGGCTCCCATTGTGGCCAGGCTGTGCTCAATGTAGATGGAGTGGTCCTGGCTAAATATTTAGTGACGACTCCAAAAGCATGAAAGAGGAGGGAGGGAGCAAAAAGGAATCTCCCTTTTGTTTAGTTTTTTCTCTCTCGTGAGCGGATTGAGTGCACAATGAAATGCTCTCGGCTTTAACCTTAACCCTCTACGCCTGCCCCTACTCTCTCCGAGAGAGAGATGGAGAGAGAGAATATCCTCTCTGCATGGATAGGAATAGAGCTGAGTTATAAATAAAGCCAGAGAGCGAGAGGGGCAGGATGGCTCTAGCCAAGCCAAAGCGGGCTGGGACAGAGCAGAGCGGGGTGGGGTGTCTCTCTCTCATGCCGCGAGAGCTCGTCAGCTTCTTGGCAGTATTTCCCAAAAAAAATCCTCTGAAAGCCCTGGCGAGCCGAGCAGACATATTGAGACTAGAGACACACGGGGATGGCTGCCACCACTTCGCTCCAAACGTAGCGCTCGCTCACCATGGTCGGAAGGTACCTCTCCTCAGGTATTTTTCCTGCTTTTCGCCCGTGATCCCCCTCTCTTTCTCTTTATTCGCTGGGCGTCTTTCACTGCGTTGTGCATTGTAGTGCACCATTTGCCTTCTAAATGCATGCAAGTACTAAGATAAGTGCGATTTCCAACGGAAAACATCCAAGCAGCGACAGACGGCATTCTGATTAATATCTTCATAAAGATAGTATTAGTGCTGCAGGACTGATATAAACAGACTGTAGCTCTGAGCCTTTTTGGCTCTGATTCAGATTTGATAAAATGGCGTCCTGTACTACACCACAGAAGCCACACCGCTGTGTCAGAGACACACTGCCCTTCTCTCTCTCTCTCTCTCTCTCTCTCTCTCTCTCTCTCTCTCTCTCTCTCTCTCTCTCTCTCTCTCTCTCTCTCTCTCTCTCTCTCTCTCTCTCTCTCTCACTCTCACTCTCACTCTCACTCTCACTCTCACTCTTTCTGTTTCTCCCATTCTTTTCTAATCATTGGAAGAAGCCTAAGCTCTGCAGGGAGGGAGAGAGTGAGTGAGAGACAGACAGCCAAAGCTTGCTCACAAACAGTATCTCTCCCCAGTTATCGATCAGACAAAAGCAGAGGCTGTGTGTGTGCAGAAGTCCACTCCGCTCACACGTGCATGTAGAGGCACACCAAAAACAACAACAAGAGGGAACTGACGCGGCGGCAGAGTGATTACCACGGCAGGGCATCTAGAGCGGCTGCTGCTTTTCCACTGACTCACTTCTTATGCACCAAGCTGCTTCAGGGGATAGTTCTATAACTGTTGTTACCCAAGCCTCTCTCAGCAGTGGTGTTTCTTTATTGGAAGAGGAAGAAATCCTACTGTTTGGGTTTGAGGAGTAGAGGCAGAGGCAGTAGAGAGATTTTTGAGGGGACTGGGAGGCAGTCTTCTGTACAGCAGGGGTGCAACGTTACAAAACATTCAGATAGAAATGTTGTATTGTGTAGATTAGGTATGCGTGTTTGTGATGTAGAACTGTGAGTCATGTCAGCTCTACACATTACATTTCTACCTGCATCATTGTGAACGTTTCACCTAATTGAATACACTCCAGGGCAGAGTGGTTATCGGTCAAGCCAATTGTGTGTGAACCTGGGGTCAGGCCCAGACTGAGGCTGGACTGCAGGGGTCAAGGGTTAGGACTGAGGATGGGCATCTTCGGATCTGCCGGTGGACTCCACCTTGGCTCCCACTTTATTCCAAGATGGCTGCAACTAGGGTAGAGCTGTTGAGATTACTAGGCTTGGGCGATATACCGTTTATACCGTATACCGGGGTATTTTGAAATATTAAAAAAATGTATCCTAAGGACAACTCCCACAGCAGTCAACATTTCAACTAGGTTTCTCTTTGCAAAAATAAATATAAAAACTGTTTTCACTTTGTCATTATGTGGTATTGTGTATAGATTGATGAGATGTTTTATTTATTTTTTATCCATTTTAGAATAAGGCTGTAACGTAACAAAATGTGGAAAAAGTCAAGGGGTTTGAATACTTTCCGAATGCACTGATAGATAAAATATATTTGAGATTTGAGATTCTTCAAAGTAGCCACCCTTTGCCTTGATGACAGCTTTGCACACTCTTGGCATTCTCTCAACCAGCTTCATGAGGTAGTCACCTGGAATGCATTTCAATTAACAGGTGTGCCTTCTTAAAAGTTAATTTGTGGAATTTCTTTCCTTCAGTTGTGTTGTGACAAGGTAGGGGGGGTATACAGAAGACAGCCCTAGCTTTGGGCATGTTGGGGCCTGGCCCGGGGCCAAGTCCATATTATGGCAAGAATACCTCAAATAAGCAAAGAGAAACGACAGTCCATCATTACTTTAAGACATGAAGGTCAGTCAATACGGAACATTTCAAGAACTTCTAAAGTTTCTTCAAGTGCAGTCGCAAAAAACCATCAAGCGCTATGATGAAACTGGCTCTCATGAGGACCGCCACAGGAATGGAAGACCCAGAGTTACTTCTGCTGCAGAGGATAAGTTCATTAGTTACCAGCCTCAGAAATTTCAGCCCAAGTAAATGCTTCACAGAGTTCAAGTATCACCGGTGTACAACAGTGATCCATTCTAGTGTTATCACCGGTGTACAACAGTGATCCATTCTAGTGTTATCACCGGTGTACAACAGTTATCCATTCTAGTGTTATCACCGGTGTACAACAGTGATCCATCGGTTATTGGAATAAGTGGAGGCATGTTATTGTTTTGCCATTGATTGTTGACTCAACATGTGATTACTGTGATTGGTCTGGTAATGTTAAGATGCCTGTTGTTCATGCAGTAGCTGTACACAATGACAAGAAAGCCTGATCATCACATACATTCCATTAGCCTGGTTAAACCAACTTGAACACTGCACTCACCATTGTTTCACTAGCGTTCAGGTTGGTTTACCAGGCTAACATTTAATCTCCCCTCTGGAATATAGTATACTGAACAAAAATATAAACTCAACATGTAAAGTTTGATCCCATGTTTCATGAGCTGAAATTATCTCAGAAATGTTCCATGCTCACAAAAAGCTTATTTATCTCAAATGATTTGCACAAATTTGTTTACATCCCTGTTAGTGAGCGTTTCTCCTTTGCCAAGATAATCCATCCACCTGACAGGCGTGGCGTATCAAGAAGCTGATTAAACAGCATGATCATTACACAGGTGCACCTTGTGCTGGGGATAATAAAAGGTCATTCTAAAAGGTGCAGTTTTGTCATACAACACAATGCCACAGATGTCTCATGTTTTGAGCGAGCGTGCAATTGGCATGCTGACTGCAGGAATGTCCACCAGAGCCGTTGGCAGAGAATTGAATATTCAAGTCTCTACCATAAACTGCCTCCAACGTTGTTTTAGAGAATTTGGCAGTACGTCCAACCGGCCTCACAACCGCAGACCACGTGTAACCACGCCAGCCCAGGAGCTCCACATCCGGCTTCTTCACCTGTGGGATCGTCTGAGATCAGCCACCTGGACAGCTGATGAAACTGAGGAGTATTTCTGTATGTAATAAAGCCATTTTGTGGGGGATAACTCATTCTGACTGGCTAGGCCTGGCTCCCCAGTGGGCCTATGCCCTCCCAGGCCCACCCATGGCTGCGCCCCTGCCCATTCATGTGAAATCCATAGATTAGGGCCTAATTTATTTATTTCAATTGACTGATTTCCATAGTGTCCGTGTTTTCCTACGTAAATAGGAGAGTGCTTATAGTGTATGCTTTGATGTTTGCGTTGTCGGTATACATTAATGGTGCAACCAGTTTTCACCCCTATATTTAGATGCCATTAACTGTTATACACTGCTCAAAAAAATTAAGGGAACACTAAAATAACACATCCTAGATCTGAATGAATGAAATAATCTTATTAAATACTTTTTTCTTTACATAGTTGAATGTGCTGACAACAAAATCACACAAAAATTATCAATGGAAGTCAAATGTATCAACCCATGGAGGTCTGGATTTGGAGTCACACCAAAATTAAAGTGGAAAACCACACTACAGGCTGGTCCAACTTTGATGTAATGTCCGTAAAACAAGTCAAAATGAGGCTCAGTAGTGTGTGTGGCCTCCACGTGCCTGTATGACCTCCCTACAACGCCTGGGCATGCTCCTGATGAGGTGGCGGATGGTCTCCTGAGGGATCTCCTCCCAGACCTGGACTAAAGCATCCGCCAACTCCTGGACAGTCTGTGGTGCAACGTGGCGTTGGTGGATGGAGCGAGACATGATGTCCCAGATGTGCTCAATTGGATTCAGGTCTGGGGAACGGGCGGGCCAGTCCATAGCATCAATGCCTTCCTCTTGCAGGAACTGCTGACACACTCCAGCCACATGAGGTCTAGCATTGTCTTGCATTAGGAGGAACCCAGGGCCAACCGCACCAGCATATGGTCTCACAAGGGGTCTGAGGATCTCATCTCGGTACCTAACGGCAGTCAGGCTACCTCTGGCGAGCACATGGAGGGCTGTGCGGCCCCCCAAAGAAATGCCACCCCACACCATGACTGACTCACCGCCAAACCGGTCATGCTGGAGGATGTTGCAGGCAGCAGAACGTTCTCCACGGCGTCTCCAGACTCTGTCACGTCTGTCACATCTGCTCAGTGTGAACCTGCTTTCATCTGTGAAGAGCACAGGGCGCCAGTGGCGAATTTGCCAATCTTGGTGTTCTCTGGAAAATGCCAAACGTCCTGCACGGTGTTGGGCTGTAAGCACAACCCCCACCTGTGGATGTCGGGCCCTCATACCACCCTCATGGAGACTGTTTCTGACCGTTTGAGCAGACACATGCACATTTGTGGCCTGCTGGAGGTCATTTTGCAGGGCTCTGGCAGTGCTCCTCCTGCTCCTCCTTGCACAAAGGCGGAGGTAGCGGTCCTGCTGCTGAGTTGTTGCCCTCCTACGGCTTCCTCCACGTCTCCTGATGTAATGGCCTGTCTCCTGGTAGCGCCTCCATGCTCTGGACACTACGATGACAGACACAGCAAACCTTCTTGCCACAGCTCGCATTGATGTGCCATCCTGGATGAGCTGCACTACCTGAGCCACTTGTGTGGGTTGTAGACTCCGTCTCATGCTACCACTAGAGTGAAAGCACTGCCAGCATTCAAAAGTGACCAAAACATCAGCCAGGAAGCATAGGAACTGAGAAGTGGTCTGTGGTCACCACCTGCAGAACCACTCCTTTATTGGGGGTGTCTTGCTAATTGCCTATAATTTCCACCTGTTGTCTATTCCATTTGCACAACAGCATGTGAAATTTATTGTCAATCAGTGTTGCTTCCTAAGTGGACAGTTTGATTTCACAGAAGTGTGATTGACTTGAAGTTACATTGTGTTGTTTAAGTGTTCCCTTTATTTTTTTGAGCAGTGTATTATCTTCTAGGTATGATGACATACTAACCTTTTCCCTTTCTCCCTCTCTCTCTCTCTCCATCCGCTCTCTCTCTCTCTCCATCCGCTCTCTCTCTCTCTCCCTCCTCTCTCTCTCCCTCCATCCTCTCTCTCCCTCTCCATCCTCTCCCTCTCATCCAATAGAGCTGCCCCCACAGAGTGGCCCGGGAGCTCAGTATGAGAATCCTCACTTGGGACACCAGCCTGCCAATCGGAGTGCCACTTCCACCTCAGCGTCGGCCAATCACAGTGGCTGGGATACAGTGATCATCGACGAGAGTGACACCGAGGCCTGGCCGTCCATTTCCCGCAGCAGCCAGAGCCAGAGCCAGGGCCCTGCAGGAGGATGCCCCTCGGACACTGACCTTGTTGGTCCGGCCAGCAGCAGCAGCAGCAGTATGAGCATGGCCACGGGGGCCAACGGCCAGACAGGCCACTTTCCTGCCAACTACCCCAGCAGCAAAGGAGCCAGCTCTGGGCCCGGCGGCTCAGCCAATCACCCCGGGGCAGGCGTGGTCGGCATGGCATCCGGCCATGGAGCAGTCAATCGGGGCTGGGGATCTGGTCCCGGTCCCTCCCCCCATGGCCCTCCTCAGACCTCCTCTGTCGGGGGTGGGGAGGGGAAGAGCGACGGCCCAATGGGAGGCGGGGGAGGCAGGGGTTGGGGCTCCTCTTCCTCCAACTTTAACTTGAACCTGAACCCCAACGCCAACCCCTCGGCCTGGCCCGTGCTGGGGCAAGACGGGGGCGGAGGAGCGGGGGGAAGCAGCTCAGGGGGAGCCAACCCCAACCAACCCCCTTCTTCTCAACCCCCTCCTAACCTCTGCAACCCACCAGGCACCTCTCCCGCCCAGGGGAACGGCAACAGAGGAGGAACCATGGGGGGCGGCGCCGCCAACGGTAACCTGCCAGTAGGGGGAGGCAGCACCTGGGGAGAACCATCTGAGCCGCACCCCTCCTCGTCCACGAATGTGTCTTTCAGCTCAGAACCTCAGAACCTTAACACTGACGGACCAAATCATGCTAACAAGCAACAGGAGCCCCCCATCCACAGCGTGCCCGGCTGGGGTGGCCCCTCTGGGGGCATGGGCTCCCTGGGCCAGCCTCCTCCTGGAGCTCCCCAGCTGGTCAACGGAGAGGACGGCAGCTCCGTCTGGGGCAGCAATGGAGACTCCAAGTCAGTCGCCTCCTCCGCAGAGGCTTCGGGCTGGGACTCTGGGGCCGGTGGCTGGGGGAGCCATGGAAGCAGTGGTGGGGGAACCTCTGGAGGCTGGGGAGGCCAGAGAAGCGGAGACGGATGGGGGAAGCAGCATTCTGGCGAGGGCCAGGGAGGCTGGGACGCCCCCAGCTCTCCTCCCCAGCAGGCCAGGTCCTGGAGCACCCGAGCACCTAGCACTGCGGCAGCCAGCGAGGGCAGCAGCGAGGGCATGGACGGAGCGGGACACTCCCGCCGACAGGACCAGTCGTCCAGGGATGAGCCTGCCGCCCTGCTCCCTGCCCCTGACCTGGACCCCAGGGTGCTGTGCAACACAGGCTGGGGCCAGACACCCGTCCGCCAGCACACGTCCTGGGACATGGAGGAGGCGGCACGCACCCAACGAAAGGCAGACGCTGCCGGGACGGACTCCTGGGGAGGCTCTGGCCCCAACACCCCCACCGAGTCAGCCCAAGGGCCATCCAACCCCAACCACGGCCCCCCTCATCGGGCTGACCCCAAGAGCGAGGGTCCCGGGCCCGGTCCTCAGGCTGCCCCTGGCTGGGGTGGTTCCATGCCTCCAGCCAGCCAACCCGGCTCTGGCTGGGGCGAGCCACCGAGCAGCAAGAATCCCCCCAATGGTCCCGGAGGCTGGGGGAACCCCCCACCAGGAGGCCCCGGGCCAGGCCCCAACATGCCCAAAGCTGGGAGCCAGTCCTGGGGAGCTCCAGAGGAGAAGTCCCCAAGCTGGGATGATCCCCACAGCAAGGCCCCCAAGCCCCAGGGCTGGGGAGATGGGCCCAAGCCATCCCACAGCGGCTGGAGCAACAGCGCTGGAGGAGGGGGCAGTGGAGGTGGAGGTGGAGGAGACTGGGGAGAGCCTGCAGATGGCAAGAAGAGCAGCCCCACCACCAACCCTCCCTGGGAGGGAGAAGGAGCAGGAGGCTGGAAAGAGAGCAACCGAGGCTGGGGAAAGCCTGGTCCAGGGGTGGTGGGAAATGTTGGAGGAGGTGGAGGCTGGGGAGAGCCAGCGATGGCCCAGCAGCGCCCAAGCGGCCCTGCCCAAGGATGGGGCGGCAAGCCCCAGGAGAGCTCCAATGGCAACAGCGGAGGAGTTAGAGGCGGTGGAGAAGGGAGCATGGGATCCTGGGGAGGCCCTGGCCCCGTGAAGCCCAGTGGATCAGGCCGGGGGGGCATCGGTGGAGGAGGAGGGGGCAAGCAGGACCCCTCAGGAGGAGAGCCCACGGGGTGGGAGGAACCTTCCCCACCCTCCATCCGACGCAAGATGGAGATTGACGACGGCACCTCGGCTTGGGGCGATCCGGGCACCTACAACAAGACGGTCAACCTCTGGGACAAGAACAACCCTGGGGGAGGAGTGCCACCCCAAGGTAGACCTCCAGGGAACGCCCCCCCAGGCCCCCCTGGAAACAACAACAACAACAACCACCCCCACCCACCACATCACCCTCCCCACCATCCTCACGCCTACCACGGCCCTCCACCACCCCTCCAGAGCCATGGGGGCCACAACCCCCAGGGCTCAGGCCAGAACAGTGGGCCCATGGACCCAGCCGTGCCTCACCAGACTGCACCTCCACCACACAGCAGACAACCCCTCATGGGTCCAGGTGAGAAGACATACTCTATGCATGGATGGCTTATAGTGTTACTGTGATTTTGTCTTGGTAATCTTGTCATTTGACAATGACATCTAGCTTTTAATCAAGAGTCTTACGAAGTTGAAACGTCTTGCAATGTTGGGTTTACGTTTTGTACATGTAGTCATGGGAGGAAAACAATGTTGTGGGTTGTACTCAAACCTAACAGGCAGAATGAATTCACTGTACCAGGCCTGATAAAGATTAGTCATTTTGTTAAAAAGCGGCAGCTTAAAACACTTGTCGCAGTTCAATCAACTGTTACTATACTGTGCACACACAAGAACAAGGAAATAGCTGTATATCCTATCTATGACTTAACACAAAATCTTGTTAGGTGGTGCACAGTGAACACATGCTAGGCTCCAAACCGTTGATCCATTTTAAAAGTAAAACCTCGCCCTCTTGGATTTCCATCTAAATGAATAACCAAATTGGCGAAAGCGATGTCAGCCCGCCCCGGCCCCACCCCTTTTACTTCTCTGAAGCTCGCTCTCCTCTGATTTCACAACAACAACACGGGTGCCCCGTCTGTGTGTGTAACCGTGGCAACCTCACGTGGGCACACGTGGCGGAGGAAGCCCAAGAATGCTGTTTACTAACCCTGCTTGTGAAAATAGCGATTGGAGCCGCAAAACGTTTGAGGTATGGAGGAAGTGTGTGATTATAGGGGGAGCCGCCATCTGTCGGTAGTTAGAGGAGAGAGAGGAGGAGGAGGAGGAGGAGGAGAGAAAGAGAATTTAGATCCCCCCCCTGCTGGTTCTGGCCAGTCACTGCCCCATATGCTGCTCTTTTATGCACCGCAATCAACCATGCAACACAAAATAATACAATACAAGTTTTGTGTCAATACAGTATACTTTGAAATATGTCTTTAGTTTCCTTCACTCCTTTCCCACATAACCCTGATACTTAAAATGACAGGCTAGGTTTTACACCTATTGAGTTCTTTAACGTCAGTGGTCATGAAGGAGAGGACATGAGGAAAGACTATTTAATCATGACTGAGAGAGTGAAATCTGATCCAGGAAGTAGACCTCCTCTTGGAGCGAGAGACACACTGGCACAGGCAGAGGGATAGGGCTGCCTGACTCTCAGCCAGGCCAACTGGTTACTACAGAGAGGGCCAAGAGTTAAACAGCCTCCTCTGTCCTAGCCTGGCTAAGGTCTAGCCTGGCCTGCTTAAACCAGGAAAAGAAAGAGGTTAGGAATGGTATAATTTAGCAATATGATTTTCTTAGATTTTTTTTTTACATTGTGATTGTTTAAACTTAGATATTTAGAATAAGGATGCACACAATGTTGAAATTGTGTGCAATACATAATTTTTGTTAGGTGTATGAATGGAGGTACATTTTCCTGTAGGAGTGCATGCTCAGATGGCATGTAAACAAAATGAAGCTAAGGTTCCAGAGCAAGGCTAGAGTGTTTTGGGTCCGTTGATCTCTGTACTGTTGTACAATCCAATCCATGTGTGCCCTTACCAAAGTCATCCTGTTCCTAGGCTGGAGGGAGCTGTCCAGTGCCCACCCCAAACCAGAGCCCTCCTGGGGGGAGCCTGCACCCCCTCCGGTCAGCGTGGACAACGGGACCTCCGCCTGGGGGAAACCCACCGGGAGCCATGGGGGCTGGGGCGGGGGTGACAACAGCCCCGAACCCTACAGACGGGGCAACCCACCCCTGGGATCTGCACCTTGCAAACCAGGTGAGAAGAACACTAGTACTTTTTTTTATAGATTAGATTTTTCCTGATTAATCAAAATTGCTGATGTTTTTACTAGGGCTGGGACCTCATGATATTATTTATTTTTTGTTTTTTTACATTTTAGTCATTTAGCAGACGCTCTTATCCAGATCAACTTACAGGAACAATTAGGGTTAAGTACCTTGCTCAAGGGCACATCGACAGATTTTGCACATAGTTGGCTCGGGGATTCAAACCAGTGACCTTTCGGGTACTGGCCCAACGCTCTTAACTGCTAGGATACCTACAGGCTACCTTATGTGACGATAGGATATGTATTGCGATTCTCATGATTCTATAAGTATTGCGATTTGATTCTGTGATTTTATTGCGTTTTGATTTTCCAAACATATTGCTCACCATATGTCTGCTGCAGAGGGACAAGAAAGCCATGAGATCAGTCATGGAAATAAAATTGCTGAAAACAAATTGGCTCCCTATTTAAAAACAAGATGAAGTACAAGCTATATTGGAAAAATACTGGAGTTTTGGTGCAGGTACAGCCAACTAGCGCAAAAATAATATTGCGATATTGTCGATGCGACATCGTCAGAAATAATATCACGATATGTAACTGTATCGATATTTTTACCTTGTAAAGGAAGTGTGTCTTAGATCTGTCTTGCAACACATAAAGGCTGAAGCCTCGATTTAGTATGCAGCCACACTGACCTCTGGTGGCAGGCAGAATAGTCTTTCTATACCGAACTCTGTAATTTACCAGTGCATGGCTATGCTATATAAAAAAAAATCAATCAACTGACAATTAAAATACCCCACTGTTAGAACCAATACAAATCAGAAATACAAATATATTATGTCATAATCCGTGGCGGCTGGTGACATAAAACATAAGATAGTAACACAACACTTCCTTCTCTCCCTCTGCAGCCCCCAAATCTATGCAAGAAGGCTGGGGAGGCGGAGGCGGAGGCGGTGGAGGGGAGGACATGGGTCTGTCCGGGGGCCAGTGGGACCCTGACGACGGGGACATGTGGAGCAGCCAAGCCTCCCAGGAGAGCAACTCCTGGGGAAACCGACCCAGGAAGGGCCCACCCAAGGGCAAGATGCCGGGCAAGCAGGAGGAAGCCTGGATCATGAATCGCCTGATCAAGCAGCTGACAGACATGGGCTTCCCTGTGAGTGATACTACCTGCTACTACCTCTGGGGTCAAACTCCACACTGATGTAATCTGTATACATAGAAATATGATAATAATATAGTAATATAACAAGCCATTTAGCAGACAGTGTACAACAGTGAGTGCATACATTTTCGTATGGGTAGACCCAGCTGGGAATCGAACCCGCCATCCTGGCGTTGCTAGCTCCATGTTCTTACCAACTGAGCCACACAGGACCACACATACGCATGCATATTTGTGAGATATTTCTGCTGACAGATGTTCCTTGTGTGTGTGTGTTTGTCCAGAGGGATCCAGCCGAGGAGGCTCTGAAGAGGAACAACATGAACCTGGACCAGGCCATGAGTAAGTCTCTCTTCTCCCAGTCCTCAATACACTCTGTTAACTCCTTGTCCCTGATGTACTCCATATCACTGTCACTGACTGTATCAGTGTTGGTAATATCCCTGTGCGCTCTATCTTTATCTCTATCTCTCTCTCTCTCTCTCTCTCTCTCAGGTGCTCTGTTGGAGAAGAAGACAGAGCTGGACAGGCGGGGGATGGGCATGTCCGACTACAACAACGGTCTGATCAACAAGGGGCCAATGGGCTGCCGGCCTCCGCTCCTCTCCAAAGAGTCCTCCTCAGATCGCTCCCCTTTCCTCGACAAGGTAATGACCCCTGACCCCCCCCCCTAACCCCAGTATCACACACTCCGATACTGTCCATGGGTACTTCAATTAGAAGATGCTGTATAGCCAGGGCAGACATAGTGGTCTGCGGAACCATGGAAAATAACTCATCAAGGAATCAGACAAAAATATTTTTTTAAAGCCTAGATTATTAAAAATGTACTGTACATCACATTATCAATAGTGTGTTTGTTCCATTCTTCACTAGTTATGAGGGGAGAGTTGCGGTTCTGTACAGGGCAAGGTTCAGTTTATGTATCCACCCATTGAGAGTGTAATGGTGGCGCTCTCCCTCTGTGGCTGTCTGTGTCTGTCTGTGTGGGTGCAGGACGGTGTTGGTAGCCTGGTGGAGGACGTCCACACCTCCTCACCGTTTATGCCTTCCCCTGGCCCCCTCGGCCTGAAACTCCCATCTCTGTCCAGCCAGGGCCTGGGCGGCCCACAGGGCCTAGCCATGCAAAACTTGAACAACAGACAGGTAGGCAGCACACTGTCTACGGCTATGTGGGGTTTAGACAGCAGACAGGCAACAGACAGGTGCCATAGGCAGAATTGGGAGTGATGCGGACTTGAATGACAGACTGACTGGAAAATATACAAGTCTGAGAAGAGGAAGGTCTTGTTGGCATACTGATAGGCAGAGAGGGCGATGGACAGACATACCAACAAACTGGCAGGGGGCAGACAGAGCTAGAGGGAGCCTGTATGTAGGTTTTGGATTTTTCACTGGGGTTTTGCGTAGCCTGTTAAATCTTGTTGGACTTTTTAAACATCTAAATCAAATCAAAGTTTATTCGTCTCGTGCAATGGCTGTAAACGGTTCAGTGAAATGTTGACTTGCAGCTCTTCCTCTACAGTGCAGAATAAATGTCAAGTGGGTTCCTATCATCATTCTGTTCTCCCTCGTTTCCACCTCTCTCTCTCTCTCTCTCTCTCTCTCCCTACCCCAATCCCTCTCTCCCCACATCCCACCTCCCTCCCTCCCTCCCTCTCCTCCCTCCCAGATGCAGAGTGGAATGTTCGGCAGTAGCGGAGCAGCACAAGCCCGGGCCATGCAGCAGCCTCCTCCTCAGCCGTCAGTGCCGCCTCTCGGCTCCTCCCAGCCTAGTCTACACGCTCAAGTGCCTCAGTTTCTCTCCCCTCAGGTACACACACACAACACGGACCAGGGTTGCGAGAGGTTGTTATTAGACAGGTAGGGAGGGATCCTTTTTTGGGTTTGTCTTCCGTTTAGTGCCTAATGAATACGACCTGGTGAATACGACACACACCTCTCAGCCCCGTCTAAGTATCTCCCCTCACTCATACACACAAACACACTTGCACTCATACACACAAACACACACACACACATTGTTCAGCTCCCCTCAGCATAGTTTACGTGCCTAAGCGCCTCAGTCCTGTCCACCGTTTTTTTTCTCCTACTTAGTTTATGGTTTCTAAAACCGTATCTTTTGGTCTCTCTCTTGTCTAGGTTCAAGCACAGCTCTTACAGTTTGCAGCAAAAAACATTGGTCTGAATCCTGCACTTTTAACCTCACCAATAAACCCTCAACATATGACCCTTTTGAACCAACTATACCAGCTGCAACTGGTGAGTCCCCTTCTGGTCTCCTCTCAGTTTACAGTAGCATTCCTCCATATAAAACACAATGCAGATACACTCTGTACACTCTTATATCATACATTTCTCCACTGCTTTGTTGCCTTAGAGATGTGAAAAACACTTGACTGATCGCATTCTGTAGCAACTACAAAATGTTGTGTGTGTATGTGTACACGTGCGTGCAGTGGGGAAAAAAAGTATTTAGTCAGCCACCAATTGTGCAAGTTCTCCCACTTAAAAAGAGAGAGGCCTGTAATTTTCATCATAGGTACACGTCAACTATGACAGACAAAATGAGAATATTTTTTCCAGAAAATCACATTGTAGGATTTTTAATGAATTTATTTGCAAATTATGGTGGAAAATAAGTATTTGGTCAATAACAAAAGTTTCTCAATACTTTGTTATATACCCTTTGTTGGCAATGACACAGGTCAAACGTTTTCTGTAAGTCTTCACAAGGTTTTCACACACTGTTGCTGGTATTTTGGCCCATTCCTCCATGCAGATCTCCTCTAGAGCAGTGATGTTTTGGGGCTGTCGCTGGGCAACATGGACTTTCAACTCCCTCCAAAGATTTTCTATGGGGTTGAGATCTGGAGACTGGCTAGGCCACTCCAGGACCTTGAAATGCTTCTTACGAAGCCACTCCTTCGTTGCCCGGGCGGTATGTTTGGGATCATTGTCATGCTGAAAGACCCAGCCACGTTTCATCTTCAATGCCCTTGCTGATGGAAGGAGGTTTTCACTCAAAATCTCACGATACATGGCCCCATTCATTCTTTCCTTTACACGGATCAGTCGTCCTGGTCCCTTTGCAGAAAAACAGCCCCAAAGCATGATGTTTCCACCCCCATGCTTCACAGTAGGTATGGTGTTCTTTGGATGCAACTCAGCATTCATTGTCCTCCAAACACGACGAGTTGAGTTTTTTACCAAAAAGTTATATTTTGGTTTCATCTGACCATATGACATTCTCCCAATCCTCTTCTGGATCATCCAAATGCACTCTAGCAAACTTCAGACGGGCCTGGACATGTACTGGCTTAAGCAGGGGGACACATCTGGCACTGCAGGATTTGAGTCCCTGGCGGCGTAGTGTGTTACTGATGGTAGGCTTTGTTACTTTGGTCCCAGCTCTCTGCAGGTCATTCACTAGGTCCCCCCCGTGTGGTTCTGGGATTTTTGCTCACCGTTCTTGTGATCATTTTGACCCCACGGGGTGAGATCTTGCGTGGAGCCCCAGATCGAGGGAGATTATCAGTGGTCTTGTATGTCTTCCATTTCCTAATAATTGCTCCCACAGTTGATTTCTTCAAACCAAGCTGCTTACCTATTGCAGATTCAGTCTTCCCAGCCTGGTGCGGGTCTACAATTTTGTTTCTGGTGTCCTTTGACAGCTCTTTGGTCTTGGCCATAGTGGAGTTTGGAGTGTGACTGTTTGAGGTTGTGGACAGGTGTCTTTTATACTGATAACAAGTTCAAACAGGTGCCATTAATACAGGTAACGAGTGGAGGACAGAGGAGCCTCTTAAAGAAGAAGTTACAGGTCTGTGAGAGCCAGAAATCTTGCTTGTTTGTAGGTGACCAAATACTTATTTTCCACCATAATTTGCAAATAAATTCATTAAAAATCCTACAATGTGATTTTCTGGAGAAAAAAATTACAGGCCTCTCTCATCTTTTTAAGTGGGAGAACTTGCACAATTGGTGGCTGACTAAATACTTTTTTCCCCCACTGTATGTAGATACATATGTGTGTGTCTGTGGATTTGTGTGTAAACGTATATTCCTCTGCAGGCGTACCAGCGTTTACAAATTCAGCATCAGATGTTGCAGGCTCAGCGTAATGTTTCTGGCCCCATCCGACAGCAAGAGCAGCAAGTGAGTGTCCCTCTGTGACCCTTCCCTCTCTCTCAAATACAGCCCACTAGTTTTACCCATTGCTGCCTTTTTATATCTACTGATCCTGAACCCGGCCAGGCCTCGTACTGGGGTAAAACCCAAATGTTTTACCATTCTACCATAGCAGAGGGCGTGTATGTGCTTTGCAGACATACCTGGGTTCCTAGTCTGGTGAATTTGAGAGAACCTGGTTGGCTAAACCCTAGTAAAAGCAGTGTTTGTATGTATAAGGGGCTATACTTGCCATTCTGTCTAGCAACTGTCCTATTGAATTTTTCCTGTGGTCTCTGCTGGCTCAGAGATAAACTGACCACCATCTTTGTGTCGCTCTCTGATGTCACTTCCTCTTCCTGCAGGTTGCACGTACAATCAATAACATGCAGCAGCAGATCCAACAGCACCAGAGACAGCTGGCCCAGGCCCTGCTGATGAAGCAGCAGCAGCAGGCCCCCGGCTCCCTCTCCTCCTCCGGCCTGCACCACGGCCAAGGCAAATCAGCCCTGGACTTGTTCCCAGGCCACCCCCAGGCTCCGGGCCTACCCGACCTGCAGACCAAAGAGCAGCAGTCGTCCCCCAACTCCTACAGCCACTACCCTCTCTGTGAGTGGGGACTCTGTTCCACAACATGCACAACACATGCTTGTTTGTGCTTTGGACAGTTGTTGACGTAAAAAGTGCAATATAAATACATTTGATTGATTGATAGCAGGACAGGGACTGGGTATGTTATCATTGTTACAGGTCCCAGATGATTGATTGGATTTATATAAAGTACCATAGCAACAAAGTGCAAAACAAGAAACTAGTGATTCATCCTTAATGCTTTATTGACTTGTCTTATCTGGTGTTACCTCCCTGTTTCACCTCTTCCCCCATCTCCCTCCCTCTCCCCTCTCTCTCCCCCCTCTTCTCTCTCTCTCTCTCTCTCTCTCTCTCTCTCCCCCCTCTTCCCTCTCTCTCTCTCCCCCCTCTTCCCTCTCTCTCTCTCCCCCCTCTTCCCTCTCTCTCTCTCCCCCCCCTCTCCTCTCTCCTCTCCCCCCCTCTTCCCGCCGCTCTCTCCCTCCCCCCCTCTTCTCTCTCCCTCTTCCCTCTCCCCCTTCCCCCTTTTCCCCCTCTTCCCCCCCTCTCCCTCTCTCTTCTCCCCCTCTTCCCCTCTCTCTTCCCCCTTTTCCCCTCTCTCTCTCCCCCCTCTCCCTCTCTCCCCCCCTTCTCCCTCCCCCTCTCTCCCCCCCCCTTCCCTCTCTCTCTCTCCCCCCTCTTCTCCCTCTCTCCCCCCCCCTCTTCTCTCTCCCTCTTCTCTTTTCCTCTCTCCCCCCTCTCCTCTCCTCTCTTCCCCCTCTTTCTCTCTCTCCCCCCTTTTCTCTCCCCTCCTCTCCCCCCCCCTTCTCCTCCCCTCCCCCCTCTTCCCTCTCTCCTTTTCCCCTCTCCCCCCCCTCTTCTCCTCCTCTCTCTCCCCCCTCTTCCTCTCACTCTCTCCCCCTCTTTCCCTCTCTCTTCTCCCCCTCATCTCGTCTCTCCCCCTCTCTCTCGTCTCCCCCGCCTTCCCTCTTCTCTCTCCCCCTCTTCCCTCTCTCTCTCCCCCGCCCCTTTCCTCTCTGTCCCCTCTTCCTCTCTCTCTCCCCCTCTTTCCGCTCTCTCCTCTCCCCCCTCTTCGTCTCTCTTCCCCGCCTCCCACCTCTCTCTCCCCCCCTCATTCCCCATCCTCCCTCTCTCTCCCCGGCTCCCCCCTCTTCCCTCTCATCCTCTCCGCCCCTGCCCCCCGTCTCTCTCCCCCCTCTTCCCTCTCTCTCTCTCTCTCCAGCCCCTCTTCTCCCTCTCTCTCCCCCCTCTTCCCTCTCTCTCTCACCCCTCTTCTGCCCCTCTCTCTCCCCCGCCCATCTTCCCCCTCTTCCCTCTCTGTCCCCCCCCTCTTCCCTCTCTCTTTCCCTCCCCTCTTCTCCTTCCCTCTCATCTCTCCTCCCCCCTCTTCCCTCTCTCTCTGCTCTCCCCCCTCTTCCCTCTCTCTCCCTCTCTCCTCTCTCTCCACCGCCTCTTCCCTCTCTCTCTTACCCCCCCTCTCTCTCCTCTCCCCCTCTCTCCTCCTCTCCCCCTCTCTAGGCGTCCCCCTCTTCTCTCTCGTCTCCCCCTCTCCCCTCTCTCTCTCTCTCTCCCCCCTCATTCCCTTCTCTCTCTCTCCCGGGCCCCCCCCCTCTTCCCTCTCTCCTCTCCTCCCCCCGCCTCTTCCCTCTCTCTCTCCTTCACCCCCCTCTCTATTCTCTTCCCCTCTCTTCTCTCCCTCCTCTTCCTCCCCTCTTCCCTCTCTCTCCTCCCCCTCTTCCCTCTCTCTCTCCCCCCTCTTCTCGCCCTCGCTCTCCGCTTCCCCCTCTCCCCTCTCTGCTCCTCCCCCCTCTTCCCTCTCTCCTCTCCCCCTCCTTCCCTCTCTCCTCTCCCCCCTCTCCCCCTCTCTTCCCCCCGCTACGTTCCCCTCTCTCCTCTCTCTCTCTCACCCCCTCTGCCTCTCTCTCTCTCCCCCCCTCTCTCTCTCCCCCCTCTTCCTCTCTCTCTCTCCCCCCTCTTCCCTCTCATCTCTCTCCGCACCCCCTTCTCTCCTCTCTCTCCTCCACCCTCCTTCCCTCTCTCTCTAACCCCCTCTTCTCTCTCTCTCCCCCCTCTTCCCTCTCCCTCTCCCAGCTGGACTGAATCCTAACATGAATGTAACCTGCATGGAGGTGGGGGGCCTGTCCATGAAGGAGCCTCCCCAGCCCCAGTCCCGCCTCTCCCAGTGGACACACCCAAACTCCATGGACAGCCTCTCTGGAGGCTCATCCCCTCTGGAGCCCAACCTGGGCAAGCATGGTACGAAGTGTTGATACCATTGCCCAATATTGGGACAATAAAGATTTATTGAACTGAACTGAACTGAGCTGGACTGAGTAGAATTGGGGAATATGAAAGGAGCATGATGACTTAACCAACTTCCTGGTTCCCCTCTCTGCCAGGTTCCAACCTGGCCCCCCCCGGGAAGCCCCCCCAGTTGGATGATGGGTACAGCCCCTACAGCATGATGCCTGGCTCGGAGTCCCCCACCAACCCTCTGGTGCCCCCAGACAGTTGGGGCCAGGGCAAGAGCCCCAACGACAAGATGGTCAACGGTGCCAACATCACCTGGCCTCCAGGTCAGTTAGTTGGCTAGTTAGACTGGGATGGTGGCAAACAGTCCTGGACAGCTACAGTGACTGCTTACTGTCCAGCCAAAAACCATTTCACCTAATATGATTATCATGGGAATGATGTAGCCAAATTAGTTCTGTTTTCAAGTTAATTTATCAGATGAATTTATCAGAAGGGTTTAGTTTCATTGCAAGCACCACATTTTTTATACAGTTACATTACTTAACCAGGTAATCATGTAAATGATCGAGAGGAATGACAATTGTAGTACTTCCTGAATCATCACTTCTGTTTCATCACTTCCTCCTCCAGAGTTCTGCCCGGGCGTGCCCTGGAAGGGCCTTCAGAACATCGACCCGGAAAACGACCCCAACATGACCCCGGGGAGCGTTCCCAGCGGCCCCACCATCAACACCAACATCCAGGACGTCAACCGCTACCTGCAGAGAGACCGCAGCAGAGGTGAGGAGGGAGGACGAGGGAAGCAGAAAGGGAGGGAGAGGGAGGTGGAGATGATGATGAGAAGGGTGCAGAGGAGGGTGGAGAGGGAGGAGAGGGGGGGGGGAGAGAGAGGGAGGGAGAGAGAGTGGGACAGGAGGTAGAGAGAGGGAGGGATGGTGAGGGAAAGGGACAGGAGAGGTGAGCGAGGGGGGGGGGGACAGGAGAGGTGAGAGAGAGAGATGGAGAAGAGAGGAGAGCTGGGGGGTATGAGATGACGTGAATAATTCAAAGAAAACTGCTGCAGGCCAAAACAGATAGTGTGCCTGCAATGTATCCCAATGTATTGGGGAGACTGAATATCAGTAACAGTTGGGTCACCGGAGGGAACCTGCTATTTTTCTTCTGTTCCTGCTTCTTCTTCTTCTCTTCTTCACTTATCTGCATGTACAATCTGTTGACACTCGTACAGTGAGGGAAAAAAGTATTTGATCCCCTGCTGGTTTATTTCAACAGTGAGAGACAGAATAACAACAAAAACATCCAGAAAAACGCATGTCAAAAATGTTATAAATTGATTTGCATTTTAATGAGGAAATAAGTATTTAATCCCCTCTCAATCAGAAAGATTTCTGGCTCCCAGGTGTCTTTTATACAGGTAACGAGTAGAGATTAGGAGCACACTCTTAAAGGGAGTGCTCCTAATCTCAATTTGTTACCTGTATAAAAGACACCTGTCCACAGAAGCAATCAATCAATCAGATTCCAAACTCTCCACCATGGCCAAGACCAAAGAGCTCTCCAAGGATGTCAGGACAAGATTGTAGACCTACACAAGGCTGGAATGGGCTACAAGACCATCGCCAAGCAGCTTGGTGAGAAGGTGACAACAGTTGGTGCGATTATTCGCAAATGGAAGAAACACAAAATAACTGTCAATCTCCCTCGGCCTGGGGCTCCATGCAAGATCTCACCTCGTGGAGTTGCAATGATCATGAGAACGGTGAGGAATCAGCCCAGAACTACATGGGAGGATCTTGTCAATGATCTCAAGGCAGCTGGGACCATAGTCACCAAGAAAACAATTGGTAACACACTAGGCCGTGAAGGACTGAAATCCTGCAGCGCCCGCAAGGTCCCCCTGCTCAAGAAAGCACATATACATGCCCGTCTGAAGTTTGCCAATGAACATCTGAATGATTCAGAGGAGAACTGGGTGAAAGTGTTGTGGTCAGATGAGACCAAAATCGAGCTCTTTGGCATCAACTCAACTCGCTGTGTTTGGAGGAGGAGGAATGCTGCCTATGACCCCAAGAACACCATCCCCACCGTCAACCATGGAGGTGGAAACATTATGCTTTGGGGGTGTTTTTCTGGTAAGGGGACAGGGCAACTTCACCGCATCAAAGGGACGATGGACGGCGCCATGTACCGTCAAATATTGGGTGAGAACCACCTTCCCTCAGCCAGTGCCTTGAAAATGGGTCGTGGATGGGTATTCCAGCATGACAATGACCCAAAACACACGGCCAAGGCAACAAAGGAGTGGCTCAAGAAGAAGCACATTAAGGTCCTGGAGTGGCCTAGCCAGTCTCCAGACCTTAATCCCATAGAAAATCTGTGGAGGGAGCTGAAGGTTCGAGTTGCCAAACGTCAGCCTCGAAACCTTAATGACTTGGAGAAGATCTGCAAAGAGGAGTGGGACAAAATCCCTCCTGAGATGTGTGCAAACCTGGTGGCCAACTACAAGAAACGTCTGACCTCTGTGATTGCCAACAAGGGTTTTACCACCAAGTACTAAGTCATGTTTTGCAGAGGGGTCAAATACTTATTTCCCTCATTAAAATGCAAATCAATTTATAACATTTTTGACATGCGTTTTTCTGGATTATTTTGTTGTTATTCTGTCTCTCACTGTTCAAATAAACCTACCATTAAAATTATAGACTGATCATGTCTTTGTCAGTGGGCAAATGTACAAAATCAGCAGGGGATCAAATACTTTTTTCCCTCACTGTATATCTACACTACTAGGTCATCTTATTCCCAACTCTTTGAACTCTCCCATATCACACAGCCACAGAGCACCACAGCTATTCAGTCATCCACTTTCATTTATTCTGTTTCTTTATTAGATTTTCTCTTTTTCTCCCAATCCCTTCTTCTGTTTTTGTTTTGCTGGGCGCAATGCCCCCATAGGCTCCTCCCCCACCTCATCTCAGAATGAGGCCCTGCCCCCCTCCACCGATTGGCCAGTCAGTGCGTACTCTAGCTCGTTCAGTCTATCGTCCCCGGAAACGGACGTCCCAGGTACACAGTTTGTCGGAGTGGGCGGAAGTCGCCTCTAACCACTGATACAGGGTCAAATCTTATATCGTACCGTATTCTGAGTGGTTATGTTTAGGATCAGGTGATAAAATAATCTGGTCCTAGATCTGTGGGTAGGGGTGACTTCCGCTTTGAGCTAGTTTGTCCCCCTGCCCCCCATCAGTGTTGATGCTTGTCCCAACCCTCCCCTTTCCTCCTCCCAGCCCTGTCTCTGGTGGCACAGTACCTGGTCCAGAGGAGGACCCCATCCTTACCGTCGCATCCGTTTTGTGTGCCCCTCCCTCTTTAGTTGTACCCGTCATACATCTTCCCTCTGGTGGTGTTGATGTATCCCCAGCCCTGTGTGTAGCATGGGGGGAGAGGAGAGAATAGGGGGGGAACTGGGAGGAGGGTTTATATACTATATCTTACTATAGTTCTAGTAAGGGGTCTATCTGTGTTCCTGGCCTGATCTGTCCCATACTGTGAGGCATGGACTGAGACTGAGACTGACCCTGTGATCTACTGTAGTCATTTCAGTGTGGTCTGGGACTGTGTGTGTGTCTGAAGTGAATCCTAGCTGTGTTTACCTCCGTTTTTGGTTAAACACATACAGGAAAAGCAGAATGAATGCTCTGCTATGCTCTACAGTCAACAACCCCTCTACCAGGGTATTATTCTGACTAGTGTTTTGGGTTGTTTAGTTCCCTGTGTGTTGTTGATAGAAGAATGCCAAGTATCTCCAATTGTTGCCAACCAATCAATGTGTTTTTTTTCTTATCTCTCTTTCAGGTAAACTGTCGGACATGAAGTCCACCTGGTCCCCAGGGCCCATCTCCCACCCCTCTCAGGTCTCTCTGTCCCACGAGCTGTGGAAGGTCCCCCAGGGGCCCCGCAGTAACACAGCCGCCCCTACCCGGCCCCCTCCGGGCCTCACCAACCCCACCAAGCCCTCCTCCACCTGGGGAGGCAACTCCTTGGGCCTAGCCCAAGGCTGGAGCAGCTCCTACTCTTCAGGTAAATAAATCAAAATCAAATCAAATTTTATTTGTCACATGCGCCAAATACAACGGGTATAGACCTTACCGTGAAATGCTTACATACAAGCCTTTAACCAACAATGCAGTTTTAAGAAAATAGAGTTAAGAAAATATTTACTAAATAAAGTAAAAAAGAAATATATATTTTTTTAAAGTAACACAATAAAATAACAATAATGAGGCTATATATACAGGGGGTACCGGTACCGAGTCAATGTGCGGGGGTACAGGTTAGTAGAGGTAATTTGTACATGTTAGTAGGGGTAAAGTGACTATGCATAGATAATCAACAGCGAGTAGCAGCAGTGTAAAAACAAAGGGAGGGGGGTTTCAATGTAAATAGTCTTGGTGGCCATTTGATTAATTGTTCAGTAACTGGATGGGGACTTGCTGACTGACTGGATAAATGAATTGACTGAATGGGTTTTGGTCCAACCAGTGCATGTGCAGTTGATCAGTTATGAAGTTCATGTAACATCTGTCTTACTCTCCAAACAATGTAGTCTATTTATTGTGCCTGCCATAAAAAGCTGCAGCCCTCATAAATGTTGCGTTAGAGTAGAAGATGACCAAAGGTCAGGTTCTAGAGGTGTATGTTGTGATACAGACCAAAAGTCAGGTTCTAGAGGTGTATGTTGTTGTGATACAGACCAAAGGTCAGGTTCTAGAGGTGTATGTTGTTGTGATACAGACCAAAGGTCAGGTTCTAGAGGTGTATGTTGTTGTGATGCAGACCAAAGGTCAGGTTCTAGAGGTGTATGTTGTTGTGATGCAGACCAAAGGTCAGGTTCTAGATGTGTATGTTGTAGCCTGGCAGGCAGAGACTAGGAGCCGTTTTGGTACAGCCCAGGCGGGCTAGACAACGCCCCGAGAATGCCTTGTTGTGGTTGAACACACCTCTCTCTCGATCAACTGACACTGTGGTTTACCTAAACTACAGAGCTTACTGCTTAGAATACGCCACCCATCTTTCCTGGCTCCTTGGAGAATCAATTTCTGACATTGTGCCATCATGGTGTTAGATATAGAGCAATTCTGCATTTTAGATTTATTTTGCTCTTTCCTCCCTCTCTATCTCCCTCTCCCACTCTCTCTCTTTCTCCCTCTGTCCTCCTTATAGCAGCTACCACATGGAGTACAGACAGCTCCAACAGGACCAGTAGCTGGCTGGTCCTGAGGAACCTCACCCCCCAGATAGACGGCTCCACCCTGCGGACGCTATGCATGCAGCATGGCCCCCTCATCACATTCCACCTCAACCTGACCCAGGGCAACGCACTAGTGCGCTACAGCTCCAAGGAGGAGGCCGCCAAGGCCCAGAAGTCCCTGCACATGTATGGAGATGTAGTTGTTGGCAGCTTTCCTGCCCCTCTCACTGCTCGTAGGCAGAAACACTTATGTCATGTGAACTGTCAGGTGTGAAAGAACTTAGAACTGGGAGAACTTGTAAAGCTTAGAACTTGTAAAGCTTAGAATTTGGAAAAATGTGAACTTCGACATCTTTTAGTGGGTGCCCGGCCTGCATCCACAAAGGGTAAAGAACTGTATCTATAGCATCACAAGTAGTGTATGAGAATGGCCACTTCAACGAGGCTAACTAACTAACACTCCTCTGTGTCTCTCTCTCTTCCTGTCCAGGTGCGTTCTGGGTAACACCACCATCCTGGCAGAGTTTGCTGGGGAGGAAGAGGTCCAGCGCTTCTTTGCACAGGGCCAGCAGCTAGCCTCAACCACCAGCTGGCAGGCTGACCCAGGCGTCAATCAGACACGGATGGGCGGTTCCGGGCCCAGGTCCTCGCACCCCATTGGCCACCCCCACTGGAACTCTGGTGGCAGCAGTGGCGGCATGGGAGGAGGTGGAGCCAAGACAAGCGGAGACCTGCTGTGGGGGGGCGTGCCCCAATACTCCAGCCTATGGGGACCGCCCAGCGGAGAGGAGGGGCGGGTCATGGGGAGTCCTACTCCAATCAACACGCTGCTGCCTGGGGACCTGCTGAGCGGGGAGTCCATGTAGGACCACGTCACGGAGCTCCATGCTAGAAAAAGGAGGAATGGATTACTACACAGGAATACTACACAGTACTACACATATACATATACACATGTATACAGTCAGAGGAGCAAAAACCAAGCAAATCAACGTGGTGATAATCAGTGTGGGTGGGATGATCGAGGGATAGACTTAAGGAGGACGAGGCGACTCTTCTGTGTCCACGCTGCTCACCCTCTTCTTCCTTTTTTTTGTTTAGAAAACGTCATTTCATTTTGGATTTGTTCGGCGAGAGGCATGGGTTAGTGTTTTATGTTTTGACTTTCGGAAAAGCTGGAGTATGCCTTTGACTCAACCAACAAAGGAAAGAGAAACATTTGAACTAATTAACTTTACTCTGAGAACTATTTCTAGTTTGAAACGTGTATTTTAGACGAACTGCTACAAACAACGAGCTGCCATCTTCAAAACTCCCATATTCCCTTGCTGTCTGGCAGCAGTCAATCCACACCTCAGAGAAACCATAGATATCTAGATACCATAGACATTCCCAAAGCCCATCCCCTTCCTGTCGGAAAGGTTCCAGAACTTTCTACCAGTCCGGAATTTCTCTCGTTTGTTTTTTCTCAGCACTAAATACTAGCCTTAACCTCCCGCCTGGCCTGGTTCCCCTCCTTTATTCACTGATTCACTCACTCTGTACTTACTGAAGAAAACGTACTGAGAATTGCACACTCATTTCTGAGCCAGCGAAAACCGAGGGGAGACAATGTGCTTGTAAGAGACTGAGGCCACAGCAGCTCGCAACTGGAAGCCTCGGCGGTCACAAGCATATTATTCAGTCCCCACCACTCTTAAAGGGATTGATGATGCAAACGCAAAAGTTATTCGCCTTGTTCATTTTAAAGCCATTTTGTCATGGAGGAGTTTTGTTTCCCCGAACCATCGCAAAATAAGCGGAGAGAAATATTACTCCAATGTGTCAATCTTTCCTGGGGCGTGTGTTTACATGTGTGTATGACCGTCTTGTTGAAGTCTAGTAACCACTGCTCTATGGAACTAAGAAAACACTTATTTTGAAATGCACCTCAACTCGTTTAAGGACGAACTTGCGGTCTGGTTCCCCCTTTTCTGTGACTGTGGAAGACCTCAGTAATAACCGTGGTCCACTAGTCTCTTCTTCACCAACACCATTTCAAGTGACGTGCAATATAAGCCACAGACTACTATCTACTACCGTCCACCCCAAGTACTCAAAAGGTTTCTCTCACGAACCTCTTTCAAGAGTGGAGACTAAATCAAAAACAGCAAGGACTCTATATCCCCCCCCCCCCAACCCCCCAAACCCCAACCCTCCTGAGTGTGTGTGAGCTGGCTGGACTGACTTATCCTTGAAACAAGGATATACAACAAGCACTTCTTATTCATTCTCTGACTAGGTCTTTCTAATCCAGCCTCATACAACAATGACTGACTAGAGGGGTACAGGGGTAAGGAAGGGGGTGTAGGGGCATTATACCAAAACGAGACATGTTCCTTATCTATCCACAAGACGAAACAATGCATTTTTTTCTTTCCATTGTTGTATTTGGTACAAAAAAGTATGGAACAAATATAGAACTGGTTTATAAAAAGAGGTGGTTTATCATAGCACTTAGCAAAGAGCGTCAAGCTCCTTCACTTCAATGCCAACGAATCAGAAGAGAGAAGAAGCATGTGACACTGAAAAACTCGAAGAAAGCAAAGACAAAATACTCAAACTAAAAAACAAGCAATCTACTACGACGTGGCTTCTCCGTAACTCTTTATGAACTGTAACACAGATGTGAAACTATTTTCTGTTGTCATTTAGTTTTTTAATTTTAAACCTTCCCTTTCTTGCAGCCTGTGTGTGGTACCAGGAAAGTTTCCGAAATGGTAGCAAAATGAAGGGATGACAAGGAAATAAAGAATGAAAAACTTTAAACCTGACATTGGGCACTATCGGGTTTGAGACCCCGAAGCACTCGCCTGTTTTCCCTTTTACTCTATCAAAGTAAATATCACTGTTACATGACTGAAAATCTTTAGCCTTGTTGTCTAGAGACGCAACTAGACGCTGCGGCAATGTTCTGTGGATGGATTCTGCAGGGGGATCGCCATTTTCTCTATCTCTCAACCTTTTTCGCAAGCCCTGCCAACCTGTATGATCGTGTGGCCATTGAGTGCCTGCCTGCTGCGGAGGGGGTGGACTTCCTAGAAGCTCCACACCAGGCCTCTGCAGCAGCTCTCTCACCCCACCTTCCCCCTCTCCCTCCCTGGGGAGCCTCACAGACTGGTTCCCCCAGGGACCTCCCGGGCCTCTGGTGCCCAAGAGCAGCTGTCAGAACTGTCCGATTCGTATTTACTACGACTGCGCCAGCTTCTGTTGTTCATCACCTCCACTCTATCCCGCTCTCTATCCCTCTCTCTATCTCTCTCTATCCCTCTCTCCCTATCTCTGTCTCTCATGCAAGGATCACTTTAGCCAGAGATGGAGTGGTTTTTGAATTGTGTTAAGTTTTCTTTGGTTACATTTTTTTGGTTTATTATTTTCAGTTTCTGGAAAAATCAGCAGTGTTGTTATTTTAGTTTTTGTCAAAGTTGCTGTTGTCGTCATTGTTGATGATATTGTTTATGTTTTATGATTATGATTTTTATGGATGTTTGTCGACGTCTCCATGCAGTGTTCAGCTGCTCTCCTGCCCCCTGCTCTTACTGCTCTTAAGCAGAAACTAAAACACTTCTGGTTCGACGCGCACCTCAGCAAACGCAGCCCACCACAGGAATGTTATGGAGACGGACACTGCAGATCTCAGTGGGGGTGGTTCATTTGGTGTGGTTGTTGGACAGTCAGTGTTTTGGTTCAGGAGCAGACCTGATGGTTCTAATGTATAGTCAGATCAGGTGTGGGAGTTCGTAGTTCAAAAAATTCAGTGGGTATCTATCTATCCGGCCTGCCACCATGCTTTCCCTCCGCCCCCCCCCTCACAGTCTCTGCTGCCCTCTCTCTCTCTCTCTCTCTCTCTCTCTCTCTCTCTCTCTCTCTCTCTCTCTCTCTCTCTCTCTCTCTCTCTCTCTCTCTCTCTCTCTCTCTCTCTCTCTCTCTCTCTCTCTCTCTCTCTCGCCCAGCTCAGCCCATCCCACCCTCTCTCCCTTCCCATCCCCATGTTGTCCTCTCCACACATACACACCCTCCAGTCCAGTCAGGCCTCACTCACACTGGTGCTTTATTTTCCATAGTCTGTCTCGGAGCTCTCTGGCAGACTGAAAAGACAGACTCCTATATCACTATCCCTCTTTGTCAACCTGAATACCATATAAACTGACGCAGCACTCGATTTCTATGCAAGGACAGAGGTTCGCGCTCAGAGCCATCAACCATCAGTCCACCAACCATATGCCAATTGTCTAACCCCCTCCTTTCCACCCCCCCAGGCATTTTTTCCTACAAGCCAGCACTAGGCAGACTCCAAACTACCCTCCCAACTGCCCCATCACTATGGTGTTTTTGTAATTCAGTCTCACTGATATCCCTCATACATACACACCTCAGGAGGAGGACCACTGAGTAGACTCGGCTTTCCCCTGTTGGCTCTCTAGCTTTGTGTAAAGTACATCTGTAAAGTACAGTTGTTCATTATGACAATTTCAAGAGCTTTTAGATAACACTAATAATAACCTGCTGAGTGGTATGAGAGGTATGAGTGGTGGGAATGGGGGTTTGTAGGAGTCCTTGTGTCATGTGCCAACTGGACTAAAATATCTACTTTCCACCCTGCCATTTTAACATTGAGTTGTCTCTGCTGTCAAATGAGCCTTCAATTCCCATGATTCAGTAGTTTTGAGACTACATTTTCTCCTGCATCCTAGATTTAAAGACATATGGTCATGGAGGAATGGGGGGTAATATTTGGGGCAGGACATATAGGCAGTCCCTTGTCCCAACTATCAAAGATACATTTTAGGGGGAAACTTCTGAGAATAGAAAAGAAAACAGGCGGGGGTCTGTGTGCACTGTTGATGGGTCACATCGGGTACACCTTTTATAAAACCAAAAACATGTAATCTTTTTTTATTATTATTATTGTTAAGGTTTTGACAAAAAGTAGAAACTAAACTACAAAAAAAATAATGTATTTTAAAAAAATGGCCTAAAGTATGTTTTTTGCTGTGCACTCCTAGGCTGAGAGGCCTCGTTCTGTCTCTGCAAGCCTTTTTCCCCCAACTGTGGCACTCTGACTGGGGCTACCTTCTGAAACGCTGTATCGATGGTGTTCATTTCTGACCTCCGGCCTCAAGAGTGCACCACCAACAGAACAGAACATTTCCACAGATCTGGGTTTTTGGGTCAGGGTCCAGGTGGGGCCCACCGTATCAGCAGGGCCAGGACACACCTCACAGTTTTGTTGTTCGGTACCAAGTCTTAAAAGGGGAAAGGCCCTCTTCCAAGAGTTGTTTTTCGTACTCGTCGTCGTGTGACATTAGCAACAATCACTAATTGCCTGTTTCTGAAAAACCTGAATTGTTTTGCTCCACGCTGGGCTCCCGAGGCCACAGACTGGTATAGGGTCACAAAAAAGGGGTTGGGGGCGGAGGGGTCTCCTGAAATGGGGGGTCAAGTCTCAGAGGCGTCCCAGGATTCTCCGTGCAGCACCAGCACTGAGAGAGACCACCTGTCACTCTACCCCCCCCCACCCCTACCTCACCTTATCGACCCGCCAATATACACCATGGATGACTGGTGTAGGAAGTCAAGAGAATCTCCCTTTTTAAATCACTCAAAGGCAACTGGAGTTTAAGCAAAGTATGCTTCTCAATCATGGACCAGAGTAGGTTCTGGGGTAGGGACCCGATTTCAAGAGGGAAACAAATCATTTTTCTCAAGGGCCTGGGTTGAATATGCACATGCTAGTTTATATACATGTATACATCCAAGTGTGTATATGTGTATATAGCTAGGTTTCTCTTTCCACTTTACCCTAAGCCCGCTCTCCCTG